CATTAAAATGATTTAATTTGCAATAACAAACACATTCATTCAGCTTGAAAAAACAATTTATTATTCAAAGCACCAATTACACAGCTTAAATGAATCCTGCAGAATTGTGCTGGAGGGTGGGAAATCAGGTTCATATAATTAACTCCAGACTAAAACCACAATTTGCACAGAAAAATATGCAGATGTTACCAAAACATACTGCAATTTTAAGTGAGTGTTGAACTGTCCACTGTAATTCGGATGATACAATTAAGGACAAAGGCCATTTAAAGATAATTGTTATCTGAAAGAAACAAAAAAGCAGTGTGTTTTTAGAGCAATCAAGAAAAATCTTCTGTGTTAATGCTCTAAAACATGCTTTATTTACCGTATTTTTCACACCATAAGATGCACTTTTTTCCAAAAAAACATTGGGGGAAAAGTATATGCGTCTTATGGAGCGAAATTCCCAGATTATTTTTTCTTTACCTAAAAATTTGGTGCGTCTTATGGAGAGGTGTGTCTTATGGAGCGAAAAATACGGTATTTAGCATTCCGTCCAAATATTTATTAGCTGAAATTAAAAAGTTAGTGTAAACCCTTCAGAAGGTTTCCTGTTTTTCCCTTGAATAACTGGTCCCCATGTAACGGTGAAAATAGGTAGACTCCAAACTTGAGTGTTTTGCAAGGGGTTATAAGGTGTTGGTGTATATTTCTTCTCTTATTTTAAACTGTAGTAAGTGCATTTCTAGGTAATTAACTGTAATAAGTGCTGCATTTTCTTATTTCCATCACAGCCTGTTCATTCTCTTAAAGAGGGCCTTGGATTCTGTCCCAAAACCTGCCATCAACGTACTACTCTGGAAATACCAGTTCCAAAGCCGTTCTCTATATAACATGTGATTCTGCGAGAACTATTTTTCAATACAGCTTGCGATTGGAGAAGGAGGCACCATTCCTGAAATTCTGGGGTGAGGTTTACCTCCTGATTCAGTTTGTAAAACTGGTGCTACTTTTCAAGAAAATCCTTTAAGGCTCTTGGAACAAGTTTCATTGCTCTGTAAATCTCGGCTTTGGAGTCTACGGCCAGTTGTCTATTCTGTTACTTTTCAAAGTGAAGTCATTATTCCCATAACCTTATCCAATGACACTCACACTCTCTGAAATGCGACACACAGCTAGATAGGCGCAGGGTGTCTGTGTCCTGCTTTGGAGAGAACAGTTTTCTTTTTGAAAACATCCAGCATCCAGGCTTGGAAATGTTATTTACTAGCTGTGGGATTCTAAGAGACAAAGAATGATAGAAAAGTAACCTTTCCTAGCTCTATCCTTTGTTTAAAGGATGGGCCAGTCCCTCTTTGCTTTAAAGGTAAAGAAATATTGAAAGAAAGGGCAGTGGAATTTGTCTATCAAACACCCTGACAGCAGATGAAGATGATACACAGTGCACCTGATCAACATGTACTGTTTTGTTATATAAACCATAGTAATGATTTCTGGATGAGCATACATACAAATGAGCTTATACAAATCTTAATCCTCTTTTTCTTCTTTTCCATGGGGGCTGATCCATTTCCTCTGCTTTGGCAATCGCTATATTGCCAGCATAAACAGAAAGGAATGAGTCTCTACAGCAATAATGACTCCCGCCCCACCAATTCTTTGCATTTTCTTTTGTATTTGAACAAATTCTGAAAAAGTGAAAGGTCATTTTGTATTAACTGCCGCTGGAAACATATCACACAAATGTCACAATAAGGAGAAGAAGCTTTCATAACCATGATAAACTTTGCTTCTGAGGCAATGAATCATCTGTGCAACCTTTGAATAAGAAAAACGGCAGGAAGGAAATGAGGATTTCCTTTTCTCTCACAAAAAAGATGACCTTATAGAGAACTGTGTATGTGAAAGCAAAGGAGAATAGGTAGGCAGGTTGCCAGAACTGATCAGTAAACCAATAAAAATCGCTCCAGCTTCTTACACTGTGTAGCGCTATGATCGTTCTAACTTTCCAATGGGCAAATCCTGCTATTTCTGCCTGCTGGTGTAATGCAGCTGGCATAAATCCTGGCGGCAAATCACTGCAAGTTAAGAAGCTGGCATTTCGCTGCTGTGCGTTGACTCTGCACACAAGAGCAAATGTGTACGCTAACTGAACTTGAGGTGATTCGCTGGCGAGGTTTACACCAAGTGCAGTACACGGATATAAAAACTCAATAGGATTTTCAGATGTACTTTTCTGTATACTTTTCTGCGAACAAGAGCCTTACACTATCCTGTACAGTACAGGACTAAAACTCCCATTATCCCCACTACAGCTTGTGGTGGGGAGTGCAAGAATATCAGTGTTGGCGAGAAAAGCACACATGCAATAGCAAGAAATCTGCTATAGCCAGTAGCTGTAATCCTGTTCTGCAACTGCACCCATGTAAATCCAGATGATGTCATTAAAGTAAATAAATAAATAAAATATGTGGCTATAGAATTTCCTATTTCACTTAAACCCCTCCAGGTTCTGAGGCTCACTGTCAAGGAGGCACAGTGGGGGATCAAACTCCCAACCTACAGCTTCACAGCTAAAAACACTGAGCTATTCAGCAGTTCCGTCTCCTACCACACTTTCATCAAACGGATGGTTTTCTCTCCTGTCCTATAGGATCAGTCCTGATAAATCTCCATCCTCCAATGGATTCATTCAACAGTGGGAAGAATGAACTGGGCAACAAGCACAAGATGTGTCCCAAAGATAAGAATGACAGCACTCAGCTGGATATCCCTAATTAATCAGATAAGCATTTTCAGTTGACTCTTAAGCCAGTAATTGGATAATTGCATCAATTAATTGATTAATGCTTTCAGCTCCACTACCGAACAACTGGAGCACACCATAAATTTGCACAGCAATTACATAACATATGTAATGTTTGTGACATATACTGGGGGAGGGGGAGCTTCAACCATAGAGTTAGACTTGGATCACCCATTCTCGAGTTCACCTACCTGGCCCCTGCAATGCTAATTGAATATACAATGTGGTGATTTGACCAGAAAGCTTGCCTCAAACTTGAATTCATATTTGTCAGGACCTTTTGTTGTTGCTTTTGGTTAATTCTGACTTCACTTCATTTGCAGCTGCTAGTTGAGCCACAGATCCAGAAAATGGAGTGTTCATTTCATGTCACTGCTCAGGATGAGTTCTCAAAGCTAATAAAGAACAGTTGCTACCTTTAAAATTATCATGGCATGATTTTTTTTAAAAAATGTTAGAACATGTGAGCTCAAAAACACACACAAGTCACAACACACACACCACCATTTGGAAAAAGAGGATTCAGGAAAAACAATGTGTTTTTAAAATGCTAATAGTGTTCCTCTGTGTTAGCAACACGCTATGCTGCAGTTTTCTTCCTGTCCTTTCTCAGAATTACATTAGGCGAAATCTATTACTTAGCATAAGTGACACTAGAGTAAGCCCATTGAATCAGTGAGATCTGCGGAGTCAACCCTTCTGTAAATTCTATTAATTCAAATGGGCCTACTTTAGTTGTGACTTATTATGCTAAAGCATTTTAGTGCAACTGACTACGCTAAGCAACAGGATTTCAGCTACTGTATTCTTTACTACAGGATGCTAGACTGAATTCGGACTCAGACTTGCTGAAATCTGGATCAAATCTGTCATATTACTAGACGCATTGTGGCCAATTATTTTGGCAAACACGCAAAAATGTAGAGATCTCAGTCTTTCACAATGAACACTTTCTGTAAACGGTTCATGGATTTCCAGTCCTGTCAGTTCATGTTTATTGTTAAAATAGTCCAAACTTTCAATGGCAATATCCTATGCCATCTTCGCCAGGGAAGGCAAGATATCAGCTCAAACAACGCTCACCTTAAATACCTCCAGATACAATCAAAACTAGCTGGGAGGTATTTAAAAGCTTTATTCAGGGCAGGCAAGTTGATACCTTGCCTGCCCTGATAAAGATGGTGCAGGATATTACTATCAAAAGCTCAGACTATTTTAACAATAAACATGAATTGACACGGCTGGAAACCAATGAGCTGTTTACACAAAACGCAAAAAATTAATGAGATGAAATCACGTTTGTGTCCCCCAAAGTAGTATGTGGACTGGATACACTTCACTCCAACATTTTAACGGGATAAGCTGTCTACGGGCTCCATTGAAATTCTTCTTTAGCCACACTTCCTTTAAGGTTGTTTCCTTTCCTCTACACTAAACTGGCAGCAATGCCATGCTGAGTGAAAGCCAATAAATACATCCAGTTCTCACAGTCCAGGTTGTTCTTCCTAATGTAAAGTAGAAACCTCCTCTCTTGCAGTTTAAATCCATTTGTTCATATCCTACCCTCTGGTGCACTACAAAAATGAACTTGCTCCATCTTCTGTCTGATGGCCCTAAAATGCTTGGAGATGGGTCTCACACCACCTCTGAATCACTTCTTCCCCATGCCAAACTATAAATCAGTACTTTTCATATGCTTTCTTATGTGACCATTTTTAAAAAAAGAAGAGTAAGAACTCTAGAGCTAAAGATCATTTTCAGAATTCATTAAGGCATCAAGAACACTACATCCAGCAGCCAAACTGGTAATTTCTGTGCATTGGAAAAAGAAAATTCCACATATCACCCACAGGTACACCAAGATCTGATATTCAGGATGCATGGAGAAAGTAATCATACAACTGTGAGCCTTGGAGGAGTTAGCAACATCCTTCAGTTCTATAGGATCTGTCATGCATAATTTATGAACACGAACTGAGTTGATGATGATCTCTCCACATATGTGCATGGCTGGAAAGATCCACTGAAGGGATTATAATGAATTTGTAATTTAAACCTGACATAATATGTGAATTCATGTATTGTTCACTGACAATTTATACTTTATACTTTTCATTGCAATATATGTGTCATGCATTAAGAAAAGCTAAATACGCAGATTTTCTCAATCTATGATGTCCTCATAATCAACAAGTCAAGCAACAAAACTTACCAACAGCCATCATATAATCCCACCGGTCTACCAGGCACATGTTGAAGATCAGATGATCTGATGTTTGCCCTTGGCCGACGAGTGAAATATTTCTCTCCAGGTTTTGGCAGACTGCAGAGGTCCAGCCTATAAGGAACCAAATCACTACCAGAAAAATCACAGCCAGCATCTTCATAACTCGTCCACCCGTCATGTATGGAATTCGTTGAACGGTTCGGGAAAGGAACACCTTCAAAACCCTGCACAATCAAAGAGGCATAGAGTTACAACATGGTTTGCACTCCTCCGAATAGATCTAGTTTCATTTCCTAATGGATTTAATATAGGGCTGGGCAACATGTGCCCCTGTAATGTTGTCAGACTGTAAATCCTATCATCCCTTACCAGTGGTCATGCTGGCTGATGGGCATTGTAGTCCAAGAACTGCAGATCACTCATTGTTTAATTAATAGTTCCTTGCCTGATCCTTACAAAAGTGCAATTCTGGTTGCTTCATTTAAAGAAAGGATACATAAAATGTTGCTATTGTCGTATATGTTTTGTATAAATATTTATCAAATTAAATTATCACAGTAAGGAGTAAAACATACACCGCCGGTTCCCTCACAAGTATTGGGATGTTTAAGAGAACCTTAGGAGATGTTTCCCATATGATTTTTCCCCCTCCACATCATCTTCAGGAAAACTGTTCTTCAGTAGATGATTGATCTAAAATTCCAGGATAATATACAAAAAGTAGGAAGAAACTCAGGAAGGTCCTGCCTTCAAGAAGGACTTAAATAAAACATTCCCACTACCTCATTGGGGTGGGGGTGGGTGGGCTCTGCTGATACAACAATACTTTGTTCCATAGCGGACAGCCAACTTTCCCACAATGGCCACAGCACAAGATTAATCGGTGGCATTAAAAAAACCTGAATTATTAACAGGCTGCCTGTTACTGATTATGTGGTCTAGGAAATCATTGATGGCACCTGTAGGGCCCCCAGAAACTGTCCTGTGGTGCTAACTGATGCAGAGATTAGAACATTATTTTTAAAAAACAATCCATTATAAATCTCCCAAGCTAGGATCCTGTTTGTTACCAGTGATGTGGGATCTCCTGCTCATGCAGATGGTGCCAGTATGCAAGCACAGATCCTTGTTCCAGAAATGCAGTTGATGCTTGCCCATACCTTCTTCCACAAGGGCTTTAAAAGGGTTACACACCTTGGCAGAATCCCAGCCGCAGGAGGATCTCGGGCTAGTCTCTGTTGCTAAATTGTTCCATCCTTCAGTACACTGCTTGTTAACTTTTGTTTTGTTATAAAACTCACAAACCTTAAGGGTTGCTAAGAGAATGGCACGCACCTTGAAAAACTCTGCTCAAAGGTTTCTCTCAAGACATCCTCAAATGCAGTTTAAAAATAATTTGAATGAGCAACTTGAAAACTTGACTTATTATACAAAAACCAAAAAAAAAAAAAACAGAGAAGAAGGAAGACTGATTTCCCCTGGTTTCAATTGTTCATTTGAATCAGCAGTGGTCACAGGAGCTGCAGTTTAAAATGCAAGCATTTCCCAGACTTACCACCAGAAACTTCCAGGGACCTAATCTGGAGCCTCAGAGTTTGTGCTTTTTTGCTATAGGTAATTTATAGTGCAATCCTACACTTATGGACTCAGAGAAGTCCCGTCAGGTCAACAGAGCTAACTCCAAGGCAAGTATGCGTTGGATTTCAAGCTAAGGGAACAACCAAAAGAAATGCCCAATAATGGAGGAGGGGTTTGATCCAGTACAAAGAAGCTCCTTCACTGGCGATGAGTGTTTCATCAGTGCAGGAGGAAACAGATGAACAGACCGAGGGTTTTTTTTTCGGGTTTTTTTTTTTTTGGAGGCAGCATACTACAGGTCCGAGAAGACCCCAGCCAAAACAGCCAGCGGCTGGGACATTTGGGAAGTGGCAGTCCAAAACAAGTATTTTTCCCACCTCTGGCTGCAAGTCCACCTTGGAAACCTCTGGTCCTCCCCTGACAGTCTCCATGGACATAGGACCACTGCTGATTGTATTTCTGCTGATGAAAAGGACCAATGGGAGGTGTTCTGGAGGTTGGCTGAGGTGTGCTCTTGAATCAAAAGCTGTTGTTCCCCTAACACAGTCCCAAATCGGGCCTCCAAACCCCTCTGTCACTTCCTGACTGACATGGGGGTTTCTTCTCCTTCCATTTTTTTTATTCCATTCTATAACCCTACAACTTCCCTAGAATTCTTCTATTTAGAAACATCACAAGAAGCACTGCACATCCAAGAAATCGTAACGACATGCCTTTGAAGCCATTCTTCTCATATCCTTGCTTATACTACCAACTGCTTTCACCAGGGTCTCTTCCTCTCCCCCTCCCTTCATATTTACAGATGGTATGATGCTCCCTGTATGATTGACAACATCCCTATTTCCCCCAGCTAATATATGTAGTCAGACTATATATAGCACAGAAAACATATAATTAAATATCGAAGGCCATTTTTGGGCATTTCTGTACTCATACAGTGTGTAGCATGTAAGGAAGGGTTAATTAAATATCTTTAGCACCAACTATTTTTAAAACATCCGGATGTCCTGTTTCTTTGTATGTCATCAGCAAAACAGCTTGGAGAAATAAGATTAAAAAAAAAATCTAGCAAACCCCCTTGTACCGAGCAGGAGAAAACATCACACCTTTTATTTACAGCAAAATCCATCATTCCCTCCCATAGATTTTTCAAGACATTCTGCATTTTGTCCTTTTTCTTCTGGTTCTTAGCATCGTCGTCTGTATTGCATAACAACCTTTCCCCCATTTATCCAATTAACAAAACTGCAAGGCACATCATTTTATAAATGGGCAACTGAGGAATTGTAAAAGCTTTTCTCTAGCCCAGAACAAAAGCTGTTCTCTGAGAAGAGAAATTCTGCATATTTTCTGGCCGACAGCAACTTCTTGCCTGAGCCCTGGATGTTTCTGCTTGCATATATGTATGTGTATTTGTCTGTGTTAGTTAGCTGGACAGCTCAGTGAGAAGGAGCACCTGGCTGTGGGGCCAGAGGTCAAAAGATCAACCCCCCATGGTGCATTCAAGGAGGAAAGCCAGCCTATGTGTGTCCTTGGGCAAGCTCTCTGATGCCCAGATGCATCCAAAAGAAGGAAATGGTAAACAATGTCTGAATAGTCTGTCCCTACAAAACCCAGGAAAAAGTTGCCATACGTTTATCAGGCAAAATCCAAAGAAACAAAACAAACGAAATTTTAAAAAAGACAAAAATTTGTGGCACCTTAAAGACTAACTACTATATTTTAATATAAGTTTTCCTGGACAAGTCCACTTCAAAGATATGGAAACAAAATGAAAAGTTGGATGAAATATCAATTTCACATTCTAAATATTGGAACTGACTTGACAACACATACGTTTTATTTATTATATGTGTGCTTTTGTGGGAGGGAGAGCAGTATTGCTTACAGCCAGTTTTGAGCATTGTTGTTTTTGAACTGTATCAACAGTAGCTCCCACACATGATCACTCATTACTGCACAAAAATAGTATTGCAGATCTTTTGGTCAGAAGAAGGAAAAGTCACACTACGACTGCTGGACACCCCTAGCCAACATGGCCAAAAAAGAAGAGAGCAATTTTTCCAAAATCTGTACATCATGATAACATAGAATGTCTCCTGTATGATAAATATCCCCTTAAAACGATGGTTCCCAACCTTGGGTAACCCAGGTGATCTTGGACTGCAACTTACCCAAGACTTGGAACCACTTGCCTAAGAATATTAAAGTACTATTTCAGGATCCATTTCTGTAAAAGAGAAAATGTTGACTTTAGTTCCTTTTCCAGACAGATTTCCTTGGCAATTCCAATGTTACCCAGGCCCATCTTGTATTCATAACTCCCCTCTTTGAAACATGTACTGATGTACTTCAGAGTGTTATGGGGAAAAAGAAGAAAAGGAAGAAAAGTTATTGTCTCCAAATCTGTAAGGGTGAAAAGCACAAGTGTAAATTATAGCCCCTAATTCATTTCAAGGAAATCTGATAAATCTATATTTTCTTGGATACAGTCCTAAAGGAAGATAATGCCCTTAACATTCAACTGAAAACATTCACACTTCAGTGGTTAAGGAGGGTATGAATTAGTTCCACAGCTTGAAAGAAGGACTCTATTGCTATGATCCAGTTATGCCTATGCAAAGATACCCCATTTGATTCTAGATTATTATGGTGAATACATAATTATGCTAATTGTGTGATTAATTAATTATGATTAGTAATCATGTGTTGTCAAGTCGATTTCAACTCATGGTGACCATCCCAGGGTTTTTTATGTATAAAGCGCTCAGCAGTGATTTTCCTGTTCCTCCTTCTGCTGGTGTTCTGGGACTATGCAGCTTGCCCAAGGCTACACAGGTACATAGGTGAATGGGCACTGATGCCTTTCAGCCACACACACTCTCTGGGTGATCTTCGCTGGCCATTTTCCTATGAGACATTGTGGGGATTTTACCTCCCAGTCTTTGGCCCCACAGTCTATTCCAGATACACAGGGAAAATGAATTCCTGGCTATTTTAATCTGCAGGTACCAAAAATTTTCCATAGGATTAAGAGAATGGAAGCCCAATGCACATCTAAAACCCATTCTATCTCACTGTTGGCATTAGATTACAAAACAAACATTACTTCTTCTGTTATGCAATACATATATTCCATCTATTCACCAGAAGCAGAAAATAGGCATTCTGGAAAAAGCACTGATTTTTCTGCAAAATAATGACTGTAGTACTATATTTCAGAATTTGGAACCAAGTTACCACTTATTTTTTAATGGGACGTGGTGGCACTGCGGGCTAAACCGCAGAAGCCTGTGCTGCAGGGTCAGAAGACCAGCAGTCGTAAGATCGAATCCACACGACGGAGTGAGCGCCCGTCGCTTGTCCCAGCTCCCGCCAACCTAGCGGTTCGAAAGCATGCAAATGCAAGTAGATAAATAGGGACCACCTCGGTGGGAAGGTAACAGCATTCTGTGTCTAAGTCGCACTGGCCATGTGACCACGGAAGATTGTCTTCGGACAAAACGCTGGCTCTGTGGCTTGGAAACGGGGATGAGCACCGCCCCCTAGAGTCGAACACGACTGGACAAAAATTGTCAAGGGGAACCTTTACCTTTACCTACCACTTATTTTAAGATGCTGTAAGCTTGAAATATTTGAATATCTG